CAAGCAACTAATTTTTTTTTTTAATCTCTTGAGCCAAAGCTTTATTGATTTTAGATATATTCAGCTAAAATGAGCTTGTGATTCCTTTAATCATTCAAATGAGGTATTTTAAATCAAATAATATAAATGATTTGTTAGAAAATTTCGATGAGAAATGTTTTGTTTTCAAAATGTCCTTTTAATATAAAAGCTAAATTGTTTTAATAAATTGAAAAGAAAAAAGAAAAATGTAGCATAAATATGCCATTAGAGGAAATTAAGTCTATTGTTGAAAAGTCACTGGTATCTGGAACAAAGAAAGAATTAATTAGAAATATTGCAGTATTTGCCAGACAGAAAGAATTCTTCACTGCAATAGGGTGTATCAGTATTGTTAGTCCATAGATTAAAAAAACATTTTACCAAATGTAAATTAAACATTTTAATTTCAAAATTGATTTATCTTAAGGTTTCTGCATTTTCTTCATATTAAAGTTATTTTATCTTGCTTTTATATAAGTAAATAAATATTAATCATCTGCAGAGAAATATATAAATTTTATATAGAGTATATTAATCTATAGCCAAATATCTTTACAAAATATGCGCACACTCACATACATTGGACAAAAATAGACAATCCCATCAACTACAAAACATGAGGACCTAACAGACCATTTAGTTTAAAACTGAACTGCTAGAGACTGATGATTTGATTATATTTGTGAAGGTGTATGCAGAAAATTTTTCCGAACTTAAAACAGAAAAATGAGGCAAAATTAGTCATGAAATCTCTAAACAATCCTCCTCCTGATATATAGCAGTGGAGTTTAACCTCTACCAAATAATACCAAAGCTTAAAAATAGTAGATGTACTTAAACATGAGCCTCACTAATAAGACTTGATTTGAATACAGAGCTTAGCTTGGTTGCCACTCAAAGCAAGTGAGCCTATTTTGCTCCATGGTGGAAAATTATTATGAAGGAAAATGAATACATGCCTTTTCCAAGGCTATAAGTGTGAAAGTGAATGAAATAGAATCAAATTAGCTTGTTCACTTTCCATACTGATAACCATTATGCTACCTGCATGTGCATGCATGCATCTACCTCTCTCTCTCTCTCCCATATATATATAAGGGAAAGTAAAAAATTATCAGCACTCATAACACAGATATATTATGGTGAAAGTGTGAATAATTTTTGACTTATCCTCATATATAGTTCAGAATTTACTATATTTATGGGAAAAGTACTCAGTATCAAATATAGAATGTTTATAGATCTAGACAGTATGAATATAGGAATCATCACTGCATGGCAATTGTAAAAATGTACATATCAAGCAATTTTCATATCATGTATCACTACTCCTTTAATAGACTCACTATATAGGCCAAAGAGGATTTAAGTGAATTTTGGGAAGGAAGGAACCAGCATTTCTCAGCTCTTTTGTTTAGGACTAATGTTTTAGTATTTATTTATTTTGCTTCTTACTACTTTTCTTTTAATCCCCCAGTGGCCTGTATAGAGAGCATATTAATGGAGTAGAAATATATGGTCTGAAGATAACTTGTGGTATGAAGCTGACATTCAACATGCACAGTTTATTTTTATATCTCCCTCTTCTCTCTCCCAATCACACTTATCTCTCTCTCTTTAACAACGTTTTCCCCTTGTGAAGGATTGTTAATTAATTCGAAACTTTTAAAACCATTTATTTTACATTCAACATCATCACTTGATAAGACACTGAGAGTGTTGAAACAAAATGGCTATTTTTGTAGTGATTTTTTATAACATATTTATGTTATAATTTTTTAAATAAATATATATATATATATATATGAGAGAGAAAATTCAGCTTGTTCAGAAATGCCTGAACTACTGTATATAGCTGGTAGTTTAGGCATTTCTGAACAAGGATTCTATCTATTATATATATATATATATATAGAATCCAACTTGTTCAGAAATATATATATATATATATATATATATATATATATATATATATATATATATATATATATTAGATAGAATCTCAACTTTCAAATATATATATATATATATATATATATATATATATATATATATATATATATATATATATATATAAAAAGAATCCAACCTGTTCAGAAATGCCTAAACTTTGAGCTATATACAATTGTTTTCTAAGATCATTGATGAAAAATAGCTTCTTGCAAAACTCCCATGACTTCCAACAACAACTAAAATAGCACATGTAATTAGAAGAGAAAATAATGATATAATCAAGATAATGGCTTTTCACGTTAACTTTAACAAAAGGTTAAGAAGGAAATGCCCATCAATACTAGAAAGAGCTTGAGAAGTCTATTTTCTAGAAAAACTGTTTGAAGAGAAAGACTATAAATTTCAACTGACAGTAATTCTAATTGTTTAATCACTGGATGTGTGGATAATAGGATCACAGAAATGCTAATTTTTTTCTCTTTATGGTGGAAGTCAACTTGTGACTGAGTAAGATCACTCCTAGAACTCATAACTCCAAAACAAACATTTTAAGGATGATTTCCATGTCAATGAAGCAATATTCCAAAGAGTCCAAAAGGTATCATATATATATATATATATATATATATATATATATATATATATATATTTGAATGGATAGAACATTACACAGCACTAGGCCCACTTTTCAGCACAATTCGACATAGCCCCAGTGGCACAAAAAATGTTAACCAGAGACCAAGTGAGCTTAGAAGGGTGTTACATATCAGTGATGTGGAGTGGTTTGGTGATGTCCGTGACCAACCCCCATGATTGTATGCCCCTAAGACTCAAATATAATGTCCTATAGGGCCTACTACTGAGAAACACAAGAAAAACATTTTAAATATGTAAAAATAGATGAAACATGAAATAAAAGCTTTATTCAAATTAAATATAAACTAAATTTTTATTTTACTCTTTGATAGGATGTCCAGGGCTGTCACACCTTTTACCTCGCCATTTTTGCATACTACTGTAACTTATGCATACAGACACACAAATATACTAAGCTTATTTCAATCTGGTATAAGGCTATGTGTATTGAGAATTCGGTTAAGGTCCAGCTGACTTCAGTAAAAATGATTTCTAAAGGTAGCATGCCAGCAACTACTGATAATTAACAAATACCTCTTTCTCTCACATGTTTAGTTACTGATGATTATATCACTATCAACAAAATATCAAGATAATCACTCATATTCACTTGTTTTTATTTGAATATTATTAGGTGGAGGTGTTAGCTTTATTTTAAAATTATCATATAAATAGGATCTATAGAACCAAACACATACGAAAATGTATAAATTAATATATTATAAACAAAATGTATAATTTGAAATTAAATTTGCTATATTGAATAAATGTATTCACAACTTCAAGACTTTCTAATTTTAATATACAAATATTTCCCTCTCTGCTTATATGTTCAAATATATTTGTTGTAAATTTTCTTCATAAATTTGTTTGACACACCCAACTCATAATGCTAATTAAATAAAAAGCACATCAATGTTTTTGCAGTTGAACATATTCAATGACATATCACCAGAACCTCATACAACCTCACCAACTGAGATATAGGCTACCAAAAATATAAATGTCAAAGGAACTTCAGAATAAGTGAACTTAAAAATTGCCTTTTTAGGCACAAAAGAAATAAGAATAGGACACAAAATGAATGAACTGAGATATATGTTATGTTCATACAGATATCAATATAGATATATTTTCAATGCAGATATTTTTAAAAGAATTCCTTTTATATTTTGATAAAATACAGTCATTATGAAGCAACATTTATATAAAATCTCTACATGCTAATGCATTATCAGAATTTAGCTTAATCTGTGATTTCTTTTGAACTTTTGCATATTTTCCAACATGGTTGCTGAATGTTGGTTTCTATTCATTTTACTTCAAATTACTTTAGCAATTCTGTGAATTTGCTATAATTCACCCAGTGACTAAAATAACTCAACAAGAGAAGATAATTCATCTCTTTTGGTGATCAATGATGAATACATAAATTTAATAAAGTTAATATTGTGTAAGAAATATTTCTTGCTGATTAATATTTTAATTAAGCAGAAACTGGCTTTCATTGATTAATTTCTATTGAGGATAAGCATTATCACAAAACCATATACATATACTGCAAGAAAGGCTGCACACTCAAATATTTTAGCCTAAATCAAGATCATTCTGCATTATGAGGAAAAATTCTTTGTAGTAACAAAATCATTGACAAATATTAAGCACAACATGCATTTTTATTATGCCAAATATGATATTTGATAAATACTATATTAGGCTGCTAATTTGGTTTTCTAATGAATCAGGATAGTTTCCCTGAACAAGAAACCGGCTTTATTTAATGATTATTTGAATTGTAAACAATGTATTTACTGAGTACACATGTTTAAAAAGACACCCCTATCTTTTAAACAGTGTTTACCTGCTTAGAGACTGAAAGTCTTAATTAAGAAAATGTCCTCCCTAACGTTTTTTTTTAGTAGACACCCTTGTTCCCACAAAATATAATGTTTAAAGTTATACAAAATAATCCATTAATTGCTTGAAAAAAGTTAGGCTTGACTACTATTTAGCTGGCATGCTTAGGAAAAGCAAGAGCAAATTTATTGGCCACTTACTAAGTAACTATTTTTTTCTTTTTTTAATGAAACAATTGATTTAAATTTCCTAAACAACATTTAAATTAATCTCATGCTCAAATAAAAGGATAATAAATAAAATAAAATGATGTAAAATTTGTAGGAGGAGGTTGGAATTAATTAATTGGCTTCAGGAATAAGAACTAATGGACAGGTTTACAAAGAAGAAATATAGTAAATGGACAAATGACATTTTTAACTTAATTACTGATAATTTGTATGACAAGTTTAAGTTTAGAAATTCTAGGTTCAGGAAATTTATTACGTACAACAGTTGGTTTTGCTGGTTCACACTTGAACTTCTTTTGCTTACAGCCATATAACATGGAAAAACCAGTTCCCATATGATCACCAAAGTTAAGCAACATCAAGCCTGGTCAGTGCCTAGATCAGTGACTGCTTGGGAATACCAGGTGCTGTAAGCTTGGATGTAGGTGGTGTAATGGATAATGTTTCAGAATTCTTACAATCCCCAAAAATATTTTCTGGCTTTAAATAACATGGAAAGTGTTGATAAGCTGTAAAACACGAATTCTAATCATGCCTGGTAAATGGTAGTTAAACCAAAAATTGCATTATTTAGAATATGATCTTTACATTTGTCATTTTGATTTAGTCAATTGTTCAATAAATAATTCATTAAATAATGACAGCCACTCATTTTATAACTTCAGATAACATGTCATATTTTATAAAAAATATATAAGGAATTTGTTCAAAATATCTTTTATCATATGATATAAATTTTCTATCCAAACTAGAATGTCAAAAATTCTATTTTTTTACAATGCATAAAATTTTGAAAGTATTTATTCCTATCTTCAATTTCTGCAGATTTTTGCTTACAAACTGATTTCAAAATTTTACTATTTCAAGGAAAAATCCAAATAAAATTGATATTTTTTTAGATACATTGAATGAAAAATATATTCAAACCAGAATTCTAATTTTGGATCACCACAAGCAAAATAAGCAATTATTTAATGTATTCAATAAGTACAAACTATGTAAAAAATTGTAAAAGATTACAAAAAAGGCTACTCAATGAATAAGATTTGTTACATCATAATTAATAAATAAATAATAGTGTATATAACACTATAATACTAATGGGCACAAATTATAAAACAAAAAATCACACTAAAACTACTGCAGCATATAACATATTACATCATAATATAGCTAAATTGTTCAGTATAATTTCCCTTTGAAGTAAAGGACGGTCTTATTTGATGGCACAATGGTTTAGTAATAATATGTTTGTGGCATGCATCTTGTGCATATGCAATTTGTAAAGCTTCAGTAAATTATAAATTTTATAAGGCTGTGCTATAAGGGTTTCACTGATCACTAGAATGAAATTCCAAGACTACAATTTTGAATATAAACTTAATGGCTAAATTCATTTGCTCAAAAAACTATAATGATTTTGAAAGATATTTTGTCATTATTTATCAGGTCAAACCCCAACTTTCAAACTGAGTGCAATAACAGGGATTTATAAGTTACTTGTCATAACAGTACATACATTAATACACTATTTCTTCTCACACAATATGTACAGAGTAAGGAAAAAACATATATATATATATATATATATATATATATATATATATATATATATAATACGGTACTGAAAAGTTATCTCTTTGACCCACTTTAAAAAAATCAATATTTCAGTAACCAAACATCAGAATATTTTTTGTTGGGTAGGGATGTGAAAGCAATGTTTCATCATCAGAGAGCAGACCTTGAGTTTTCACCAGTCATGATGAATGTTTGTACTTTAAAAGAGTCTCTTTGCCTGGAATGGCTATTGTCTATTATTACACCAAACCTGAACCTAAAGTAGAACTTCTTGTGTGTGTGTATGTGTATATATATATATATATGCTAAAGACTCTGGAAAAAATGGTCATCTCTCAGTATCACTCCAGAAAATACCTAGCTCCTCTTGTCATGTCCTTTATTTGCTAAAGTCACATCAGACCATGAATGGAGTTGTGCTGCCACATCTGCACCAGAAATACCCAATCTTCAGTTTTCGGCTTCAACCAAGTTCAAAATCATTTGTATGATTTTGTGGGTGATGGATTGTTTTCCACACTTCAACTCCTTTCCCCAGACAAAACATTACAAGCCTCTCACTACACTATTGGTATTTTCATGGCAAATTACATGGCTAAAACTTGCCATACTACATATACTGATTCAACTTATCCCTTCATGCATTCCTTTCATATTTGATTGGTAAGGAATAAGTTCCACACAGACAACTTCTTCCTCAGAACTGTTGCATGATGGAATGGACTCCCAAGAGGATGCTTTCCTGATCACTACAATCTTAACCTCTTCAAGCCAAGGGTCAGGAGTTTTCTATCTTCCATATCATTATAATATGCAATCTTTGCTCTCTCCCTATATGCCCTTAAAAAATCTCCATTTAGTAACCCTCTACATTGAATGGCACTTAGCCTTTTAATTGAATGAACAGTAGTAATAACAAAAAACAATTTTTGAAACAATTTGCTAAGTGCAATATGAATATTTCATGGCTCTAGATTATTATTTTTGCTTGGATTAAAACTTTTCAGCATCTCCTAATATATCTATAAAATATATGTATATATGCAATTAATGTGTATTTGGGCAGCAACCTTTCTTTCAAGCATCTCTCATTGAAAACAGCTGACAAGGAAGATTTACTTAATCTTTTACACTGTTTAGCAGTGGATACAGTGTGTTAAAGGTTTTCTAAAAATAAAAGTGATGCCCAGGTTAACCAGTCATGCATAGCATGTAACCAATGAAAAAGCATAAGTACTCCACACAGTTAAACTACTATGTACAAGTTAACACATGGAAATTCCTCATCCAGAAACAACATCCTTGATAATGGCTATAGAACTAGCTGAGAGTGCACAGAAAGATAATAACTCTGGAAAATTTCTATATTCTTTAATCCCTGAAAAAAGTAATAAATGTTAGAATGTGGAAAAAACAGAATAAGAGATTAATTAAATGTTCATTATTGGCCGTTTTCAATGACAGATGCATATATATATATATACATACATACATACATACATATAAATATATATATATATATATATATATAGTTCACACATGGCCAAGTATATATCAGTAAGCAGAAGGGTGTGGTATTGTATTGTATTTGCTCTATGTAATATATAATTTGTCAGTAACAAAATTTGTCCTTGCTTTGTATTTAGAATTTCACTGTTTTTTAGCAATTTGTTTTTTCTTTTACTTTTGAGGAGTATTTTATTGCTTTATTGGCTTGTATGCTGTTTGCATTGATTTAATCATATGTTTATTCATGCATTCATATACCTTTTGAAGAGAAAAGTATATAAAATTTCCCTATTAAATTTTTCAAATTTAAAGCAAAGATTGACCATTATTCCACAGAAATATAAACTTTTTTAATTTCAAATAGATATAATAACTGTAAATTATTTATCAGATTCTCTGTTATAATTATAAAAATTATTATGTACTTTTCATTTAGACTTAATTTCTTATATAACAATGGTCCAGTTTATGTAAAATTCAAAAACATTTTCAGAAAATTTATAGAAAGAAATGACTTCTTTCTTTTTTTATATAACAAATTGCCAATCTTTTCAATAAAAAAATCTCAATCTAATATGCAATCTAAACAAAGAAAATGAAGGAATATTAAGAAGATTTTATAAGTATCTAATAGTATATGCATGTTTTATGAGAGCAATTGTTATGTATCTTTGTATGTATTTAAGTTTTGAATGTATATATATATATATATATATATACACACACACTCACATATACATAGAAAAAACTAAGCATTCATATATATTACAGGAATATATTTTCATATATTTGAAAACATTTCCAAATTCACATATGCATATTTTATTTCCTACCATATAATGCATACTTATATGCAGTAAATTCTTCTTAAAATCAGTGTACATTTTATCACAACGGTTAGAGTTTGGAAAGTCAATGTTTTGAGGCCTCTGATGCCTACATACTCTTGTTAACCTAAATGTCTTTGAGAAAACCCTAGAGTTATCATTATTGAATTTCTTAGATAAAGCAGAGTCAATTATCATAAATTTTACATTAGTAAAGCTTATATATCATTTATCTTAGATTTGATACATTTCTTCACATTTCTCGAATAGTTGAAGAATTAGGGATACAAGTTCAAAAATTACACACCAGAGGTTTATTCTATATTTTCAATTCACACTGCACACTTGACAGTCATTGAATAGAGATTTTTAAGATGCAACAGAAATAAGATAAAAAGAAATATGAGTCCAAAATAAATAACAACCTCCTGAATAAAATGAATTTTATGCATTATATTCCAGAGAAAAATATATTTTCACTCTCTCTTTATATATATATATATATATATAGCTGCCTACTCATTTCTGAGCACACCTGTCTGCTAGCACCACTACTCAATCCCTGTTGCAAACACCTCATCAGGCACATTTGCATTTTTCCACAGTCACAGAGCCCAGCTTTGAATAATACTAGAGATATGTTGAGTGGACCTTATTTACAGTTTCTGGGATATAGAACATTATCTGGTGTGGTCACTATTTGTTAGAATAAGGCTACTCTTGGTCACAATGACTTGTGACTTTGTGCTTGGTTTAACCTGTAGTTTGGTTTTCAAGCACAGAGATCACTTCACTAAGCTGATAACATAAAGAAGTATCTGCCCATGGTGAGATTCGAATTCAAGTCACATAGAAAGATTCTAGACACTCAAACATACACCCATATATAAATGGCTGGACACTAGTATCCAAGGATGCCCATCTACTAGGGTGGCTAGCCAATCCTTGTTGTAGCCACCTGTTCAAGCACATTTGTGTTTGCTCAACACCCACAGAGCCCACCTGTGGTTTGTACTGCAACTATGTAGAGCAGACTTTAGTTACAGTTCCTAGGCAATAGCAAGTTATCTAGCATGATCAACAGTCTGAACAAAGCCAGCACACTTAAACCCTCAGTCATCGACAGCTCTCAAAGAGTCCCATCTAACCAATTTCACTCACAAGGGTCAACTTTCCAAAGGTGCTACATGCTGGGATTACCTCCCCAGCAGACCGATAACATAAAGGTCACTCTCCTGACAAATCGACTTTGGTGAGATTTGAACCCAGGTCTCATGGTCAGGAAGTGAACATTCTAAACACTTGGTCATGTGCCCATATATATATATATATATATATATATATATATATATATATATATATATATATATATATATATGAAAACAAGTTTTATTAAATTCACCCAAGAAGGTCTGTCTGCTTATTTTTTTTATTGTATTTTTCCAGTTTTCAAATATGTATCTTTGGTTGGAAATCATGAATAGAGTGTCTCAAGTCCAT